GTAAAATGCAACGACATTGATCGATTGTATTCACTTCATAATTCCATCGTGATAAGTGTATGAAGTCGCTAAGTTAGCGTGCGGTTATTTGATCAGAGTCAGAGTTTATATAATTGCAGGTGATCATCTGCCTCTTGACTTACTTGAAAAACTGCATGTGGCAAGGGAGTTACGGCACTTCCACGCTCCTTGCCACTATTTTCCACTACATTCTGTAATGAACTCCAGCGTTGCCGGTCCTAAACTCGGTAGAGAAAGGAGGAGGATAAGAGACCGTGGTGAAGTCCCTGTAAATGTTCGCCATCTGTCACTCATGGAGTTGACGCCATCGAAACTTATACACGCTCGGTCGTCGCCCGTGTTACCAACGGCCCCGCACGCCGTTTGGGGACTGAGGTAGATCAGAACCTACTCGCTGCCCTCTGCCAGCCGGTGCGTAGCAACACAACAACGGCTGACGGCCACAGACAGAACGACGACGAAGATACCAGTCAGCAACGAAGTCGCAACCCGTAATGAACAGAGGAGCTGACAGCGCGATGCCACTATAGCATGTCAGAAAAGAGTCACAACAATGGCACCGCCAGTGGGAGATTACAGTCGGAAATTGGAATACATCCTCAATCACAGGGAAAAAAGAGTTACTTATTGAGGCCATAAAGTACCAACTCGAAATTGTTGGACTCTCGTCAACGAAGCGCGAACGCTCTGATGCAAATATATAGAAGGAGTCTGTTGCAGACTCCAGATGTCTTCTGCCGAAGCTGAAACTCTGGCACAGGATCAGGAACTTTTGAAGCTCTGTCAGACGAGTCTGCCTCCGCGACCCGAAAGGAGAAGCGGTCATGGATAATGCAGATGAAAATTCTGTCCCGAATAATGTCAGATATGATTGCAAGTCAATTACTGTGTCATGTTTCGCTCACAGCAGAAAAAGCCAAATATTATTACCTTGAGCCATCTATTATTGAAGGATGAAGACAGGCAAGCTGCAGTTACCAAAACCTTTAACAGTCAAAACACACCGATAGGATGAATCCAAGAATCGCGGTTAAAAAAACGAAATCATAAAAAACGTGGTATTCTAATGGCCAGGCATCCTATGCATGAATCAGATCGAAGGCCGAGGAAGGAATATGTTGTTGCGGTGTGGCAGCGTGCTCAGGCTCTGAGAGAGTTGTAGAAGTATAGGGACCAATTAGCCGAAATTTATGCTGGACAAAGATCTCGAAATCGTTCAGAACAACGTGGATTATAACCACCCGCGCCCGTTCGAATAATATACATGAAGAGGAAAACAACGCTTTCTGCGATAGGCTTGAACAATCACTTGGTGTCATACCATCGAACGACCTTGCATTCCTTCAAATAGAAGCTAATTACAAGTCGGTAGCGTTTAACTGGGTGTTGCACTGGGTAAATAGTTCCTGCCTCCAAAATCGACCATTTTCGATGCTCCTCAAACTCACCGAAAGATTCAACCTGGCAACTGTGACGACTTTGAAGCGAAATCGACATCTGCAAAGACCAGCATGACAAGGCCCGCAACGTCTGTCCACAGAGCAACTGAAAAAGCGTGAATGGAAGAAATTATAACTACAGTTAGATTGCATGCTAATAAGTGACCGCTGAAAGCACATCGTAAAACAGTATAAAAACATTTGGAGATGTGCCTCTCTGTTCGACCTTATCCCAGTGGTCTTAGCGAAAAATATTACTGCTGAAAGTTTGAAGACGATGCCAAGGCTTAATATGATATCGTTACGGGAAAATCCATAAGTCAAGAGACAAATGTTAACGAAAAGGAATTTGTCTATGATGCACAAGTGATTTCAGCAACTGTCTGTTGACTGCCGCTAACGAAAGTATTCCATATTCCAGAGCGAACGTATCTGTCACTCAGTGGGAGGAAGAACTGAGAAGCTGATGAAGCATGAAAAAGCGCCAGACTTGCAGTAAATAAGGTACTGGCTAAAGAATAGGAAACCGACCTGAAATACTATATTACAAAGGAAAGAAACGCACTGTGGCTAAAATTAACTGTTGTTATACAAAAACCTTAGACGAGCGTTTGCTTTAACCGGCAATACAATGCAAGAAATAATTCGAACTCATCTTTCGTATGAAGGATGGATCACCTAATCTCACAACACTTAGATAAGCCGAGTGATTTCCGGAACATTTCTAGCAACTTATAAATCAACTCGTGTATGCTTTTCTTTCAGCGAATAGGATGTCTGATTATGACTCCCGCGTTGATGCACCAAACCAGCGCAGAGATTTTGCGCTCGATAAAGGGCAAATTGGTAAAGCAGCTGCACTAGATTATGCTCAAGTGGGGCTGTTGAAACAAACGCCTACTGGTCGAATATCATTCGTGGAATTTGGCGAACAGACAAAATATTAGAATGGCGCAAAGCAGTGATTATTCAGATACACAAAAAAGTTGCTCTATCGGATGTCCGAAATTACAGAGAAATCGGTCTCTTCTACTAAACGCTCAAAGTCTTATGAGATACTATGGTCAGCAGAATTCTACCCTAGAGAAGGAATACCACCAAAAAAGCAAGGTTTCCGTCCTGGTCGAATGAACATTCCAACATTGCGTCTTTTGCTATAAATGTTCATCTGATGCCACAAACCGCTGTTCATTGGGCTCATCGACTTTGAGGCAGCTGTCGATTCCCCAGGTCGCCAAACCCTGTGCGAACTGTTAAGAAATGACGGTTGCCAGGCACAGTTGTTAACTTCTTGAAAAATATATACAGGACAACGTGGCAGTACGAACACGTTCAGCAGTCTCAGACAGCCATCCGATTAATAGCGAAGTACGGCAAGTGTCGGTCACCAGATCGATTTTTTTTCTTCTGTTGCATGGATACCACGATGATAGACTGGGTTGCAAAATCTGATAGCAAAGCCATCCTCCAACCATATGGAAGGCGGTTACAAGATGTCGATTACTCTGACGACGCTGCGATGAAATTAAGAAAGTTGACGGCAGCAGAAACACCAGCGTCAATTACGACCTGAGACTGAAACCATCGACATGCAAAGTATGTCAGCACTGTGAAAATTACGGGGAAGATGTGCAGTACGTCACCAAGTTCTGCCATCTTGGATCGATGGTTACTAGTAATCGAAACTGTGAAGCTTATGTCAGAAAAGAAGCAGGAAGGTTCGAATAGCATATAACTTGCTGTAGCAAAATCTGTGGGAAAGCGCTCTAAGTACGTCAGTGTATCTGACAGCTATTCAATCAGTAATTGTGTCCTGCAGCAACATGGACCCTACTTATGAAGGAAACGAATTTTCGCTGAACGTATTTGAACGCTCGCGTTATCGCAGAATACTCGATAATAGACTGACTGATATGATCACAAATACTCAGTTGCTGGAGGCCGTCGGAGCAGGACACAAAGGGAACGATGTCAACTTTCCCTTTGACGGATATAAAAAACGAAAACTCTCGCCTCTCGGCCATGCGCTGTGACGGGATTACAAGAGGTTGATCAACATCTTGATTCGTCTGAATTCATCCTTGAAAAGAGCGAGAGGCAGGCTGACAAATTCATTGCTGGATGGTATTAGAGAAAAACTGTCGGATGCGCCGATGGGCCGAACCTTCTAGCAAACTTTTTTCGCAGTCGAAGAAAGTTCTGCGGTGATCCTGAGGAGGGACAGATAGACGGCTCGCAGTAACAATGTTAGCACTATGGAAATGCAGTTAGTAGCTGATGTCTGGCCATCTACCCTAGGTGATTGCTGATATCTTATCCTTAGCATCATGGTTGAATATTTATATCACAATGTGAATCCAGGAGGTGCCATGTTGAGGCAGACGGAGTCAAACACCCAATCCATCTGTATTTGCGAAGTCAAATGGATGATGCAGAAGACCATCTGCCAATGTTATAATTCAAACGTGACCGCAGATTGCGCGCTGATGTACTGGCATCACACAGTCATAACAATGGAATTATAGCTAGAAACTCACTAATTTGGCAAAGGCATCACAGAGAGCTACCCAACGATATATAACATATTGCCTGAACGACGCATTTGATACATCTGACCACTTTTCAATTATAAAGACTCAATGCGATGATCGCAAGACCAAGTGCTGAAACAATCAGTCATACACGCCAAAAAGTTATAGACCGATCCTTCCGCGTGAGCAACAATAATTACAAAGCTGAAACAAAAACTTTTCATGTTTAAAGCATGCTAATGCATAAGGTGGCGCGAATAAAATATACAAAAAAGATAATCGCAGCGGTAGTCTAATTGAATAGGACCACTGCAATTAAGCTATTTGCCTCACTTTAATCGTACCTCAGATGATCAAACCGCACCGTCTTATCAATGACCTCTCGGGCATTCTTCAGATCCACCCAGTTTGACAGTCTCACTGCAGTAGCTTTCTAAAATAAGCATTTCCGCCTTGCAAGATGTTATAATTTACCGTAACAATTTAGTGTTCAACCATTATAAAATTACAGTATATTATTCAATCAGAGGAGTACTCCTATATAATTCATGATTTAAATTCTACTCCATTGATATTCTTGTATTTAAGGCAGCGGCATATAAACGAGTATTAATATGTACCTGAAGGAAATAGGAGACTATACGCCATAGTTTCCTACTATAATTGGCACTTATGTAAAAAAATCAAGATAATTCAGAATGATACTATCGAAGGTCAGCACCATACTAAACTCGAAGAAAGAAAGGTGTCAAAAAGGAGGCTCTTGCTGGAAGCTTACAAAAAAATCAGCATCCAAAGGTTATGAACTTAGCTCCATCACTGTCAACTGTACATCACTGAAAGCGACGTAGAAATGAAAATCGAGTAAACTCAGAATAAAATTATCAAAATGCTAAAACGTTTACAGCAGCAAAACTAATTCTGCAACCTTGTAGAATTTGAAAATACAATTTCAGAATAGGCAACAACTGCTGATTCAAAGCTGACTTCTGAGACCCCAAAAAATGCTACGCGCTTTATATAAGGATGTTTACTGATATCAAAACAAAAATGTACACTGAAAAATTGTTGAACAACTTCTTTGAGAGACACTTCTGTACCGTCTTTCTCGTTCAATAGCTTGTCACAATACGTAACGGCCATCCATAGTTGAGTGATAACAAATTTCAAGTGGAATGACGTAGTTTCTGAAGCTGAAGTAAAGTAAACCACATAATTAACCATCTAAAATTAAATTAATCATATAACCAACTTGTTGTAAACGACTCTCGTGTGGAAGGAGTCAATTTTTTGAATTCATTATAATATGATGATTGTCTACCATCACTGGCCTTCGCTTCCGTCTTGTCACCGGTGACTAAAATCATGGTTTTCAGTTAAATTCACATAATCTTGAATGTTGCACATTTTGATGTTCTAACATAAAAGATCAGAACATAACGCATATCCCAGAAGACTTTCGGGAACGCAGTACGAGAATGCAAAAAATCTACCATGCTTTCATTCATCATGAGTGATTCAACCGCGGTAAAGAGAAGCGTAATTTATATTCGCTAACATGAGGCCAAGTCTTTACTCCGCTGCTCCTTCGAGTAATTCTATGAGTTGCAAATTTCAAAGGTCCTACTTGGCAGTTGAGTTATCAACTCGATCTTATGATCATGAAATTTGCAGTAAGATTTCAATAATAAAATTCGATTTTCTGCCTGGTTCCATAATCAAACAAGTATGGTAATCTTATTAGCAAGCAAATTTGTTTGGATTGTTTAATTCAAATTAAATCATAAATTTTGTCTCATTTTAGTGATATTAATCAGTTGTTTAATGTGAATTATGCTGTTAAGTAATAGTTTTTAACGCCTTGTTCAAACAACAAACTTTCGAATTTTTAGTACTGTAGCGTACGTGATAACAATCGGTCGAAAACTGAAACAGTTATTCAGCAAGTGCCTTACTTTGGATCGACGTAAAGTCATTCGCGGCAAATTCGCTCGTTTGTGATGACATAGCGTAAAACTTGTCTTCACCGACCCATCGTCCTTCAAAAAACTGATAAACTGCACTACATGAAACAACGTGAGATAAAAAGTACCAGGTCGCAGGTCCGCCTTCCAGTCCGGAAAATGCTGACCATATTCAATATTTTTCTTAAGCTCCCTTTCGACGATGTCAAAGTCCGGTGGACTCATCGGTTCCCCTTTGGCGGTGTCGGTTGAAGAGGAGTCTGAGAAAGTACAAAGCTGAGTAAAAATGACGTGCTTAAATATCTTCCAAACCGTCACAAAGAACTTTGAGCAATTCAGCCAGAAGATGAACTTGTGATGGGGTGAGAAACACGAAGAGCGCTCCAAGAAAAATGTCGACGTCGACCTGTAGAAGCTTATGTATTCAAGAATAGCCATAAGAGTATATCACAGAACAAAAATGCAGCATTTTTTAAAAAGAAAAAATTCATGAGCAAAATAAATTTAAACCAGGTAGCTGTTCAATTTTACTGTCATTAGGGTCAATCATCAACATCGGAAAACTCACCATTTTTTCTTTTGTACCACTCAAATCAGAATCGCTTGACCTCGTTCGAATCTTCGCGGTGAGAGCGTCAGCTGGAAAGGTGGCAAAGGGAATAGGCTCTGAATTCATTATCTCCTTGGTAAGGCCGCTGACGGTTAGCGGGTCACATGTGTCTGAAAATGATTGGTAAATGGAAGATTCGGCCACCGACTCTTGGTCTCCCTGCGAAACAGCTGTACTACGACTAGAAGCAGTTTAAAATAAGTTTTTCATTCTTTGTTAACGTAGTTTACCTAGCTTCCTGCTCCATTTTTACTGCACTGATCTTGCGGATGGTAGACGATCTCGAAAAGTGATCAGTATACAGTGTAACACCATGAATGGAAACCATCTTATGAGACACCTGCGCGGTGGGACACAAACGATGACCAGAAGGCTGAACAGTAATCGTTCCTGTACCTTGCACTTCGTCTGCAAACAGCTCGTCGAAAAACTGAAATCTACGATAAACAATTTAGATATACTGTGAAGAATCAATTGCAGAACTACGCAGGAAATCTACACAGCAACTTGCGTTACACAGGCGACCGTTAAACAGGCTACAGTAAAAAGATAGCTCAGTAAAATGTAGCCGTTTCATTGTTATTGTTTCATTTTAAAAGAAATTGCAAATAAAATTACTTGACCAAATCTGAAACGTCACATATACAACAAGTGATAGGATCCTTGAGCGCAGAGCATGATGCTAAACTAATTATCCTAAAAAGTACTCTCACTATAAAGCCAGAAAAATGAATCCGGTTCAACTTCGCAGTTACGTATAAAGATGTTAAAAAGTCCACCTACGTGCAAAAAATACGTTCGTCACAAGTTTGACGTTATCAGTTATCACAAGGTTGTCCCTTGTCTAAATGTGTATTCCACCTCTGCTGACACATGGTGTTGGTACTTTTCATGTAACTCAGCTCATGTGCAAGTCTCTAAACATGGACTCAAAAATTAGCGGAGTCCTTCAGAAAGCACACATAAAGTGAGAACGGGCAACAAATTTTAAACAATACTGTCACTCATTTAACTCCACTTTATAGACCATTTACACTGACGTACATGTACATCTCAATCAGAACCTTACTCTTTTGAAAAGATCATTCCATCGTCCTGCGTCACTATCAGAGACCTCAAAAGTGTTTCAACAGTGTTTCACTGCTATTTGGTACATATGCTTTTCTACTATTCTGAAGCGTGACTTTTTATTCAATCAATTGTGATATTTCTTTGAAATAAATTTCCATTTGACCTTTATTAAATATCTTTCTTACATTTCATTCTTCCAAACGAATGTCCTGTGCTATTCAACTTTCGCTCCCCTTGTGCTACGCTGAAACTGAAATCATTGCGATATCAGTCAAACAATAAAAAGTCAATCATTAAACGATAAAAACATTTTCTCACTTTACACTGTCAACGTTTTGAAAATATTAGGCGTTTACGAGTAATAAAAAATGACTCGAACGAACGCACAGATTGAAACATAATTACTTCTCAACTCTGAGCTCGACCGCTACGCCCTGATCGTTGAAGTATCGCTCAAATCGAATGACCACGTCACGCAATGACACCTTCATACCAAAGAGCACTAAAACATTTATCAAAAATAAAACAGTACAGAAGAGTAAATTTTAATCGCATTCAGAGGTTATTAATTTTTCATGCGGTACACAGTAGAAAAATCAAATTTACATCAGAATTCAGTATATTGAGCAGAGAGAATGCCTTAAACTATCGTATGGATTAAATAATTAAAAAAATAATAATTTCATGCCACAGAAATGCCTATTCTATGAATTACAATAAAAACAAATTTTCCGCGATGAAACTAATACCTCAACGCACAAAATTAATGTTAACTGCGCCCGGATACGTAGTATGAGGACTTTTCGCTGTATGAATAATGATCGAAGAGAAATAGGCCAGTGAAATTAGTTCGAAAACATATTTCGCTACCAGCGAATATACGATAGGTGTGCGTATGTGCATGCACGTGTAATAAACTTCCTGAGCCGTTTACAAAGCAAGAACGTGTCTGATTCTTGATGTGCTTTGTGCTGTCAATCTTACAACACTTGCTATAAAGCATCGATTAGCGCATTCTAGAAGGAAATAATCCTCTCCGAACGAAGATATACCTCTATGTCGTTCATCCACATTGTATGTTGGTCTACAAGCCGACGTCTGCCATGTTCCTACTCCTGAACGGAACGGTAAGCACTTGGGCGGGAGCAAACGGCATCTACTCAACAAATTTTTCTAACAGGGCTACCTTCCCTTTGTCACTTCCAAGAATATATAGGTCATCTGTGCCTAAAAAAACTGAGTCATTGGCAACGTGGTCTTGCTACTTAACTCCATTATACGTCGAGGCCCATGCTGCTGCATGCAGTTCAACCATGCTTGCTCCCTTGGTTAGAAGGACTGTCTCCAACCCGTACAACAACAATGATCTAAAGGATGTACGGTACTAATGGATTGGAGCTACTACTTTTTCAGTCCATCGGACAGTAATCTGAGGTAATCTGACAGTTTACAAAAGGCACTGGATTCTAGAGCAACCCTACTATTTCACTGATTGGATATTACCTCAATTAGAGCTCGGTCTGAAAACTAAGCTCTCAATATTCAAGTCGATCTTTATCCCCATTCTTACCTACGG